AATATGCACACATATAAGGATTACCTAAACTAAAGTCTATAGTGTTGATAATAGTAATACATGTATATCACTTAAAGTTGGGGGGGCTAAGCCCCCCTTCAATGAAGGTTGGGGGGGCTTAAGCCCCTCCTGCCCCCCCTGTTCCTACCCCTATGCATGTACTACATGTATTGTTGATTTATGTCTTCATTAATTTTAGTTGGCACTAATTGTTGCCCAGTCAAGGGATTCTAGTGGTAGTCTCTCAGGGATTAAGTTACCTTCTCTCAGTATTGGCTTACAAAGAATCAGTAGCCTAGCATTAAGACTAAATGGTAATATCTATTAATTGTATTATCTTCCTTTTTCCTTATGACTCTCTTTGTTTTTTCTCTCTTTCTCTGTCCCATTTTTTTCTTCTTTATGTCTTATTTCTTTTTCTCTTTCTATAGCATCAGTTCATTTACCAAGGATAGGTCACTCTACTCCTCATTTCAATTGGTATGGTACTGAGAGATTAATCAGAAAACATCTCTCAAGCAAAGGAATACCAACCTTTATGTATCTCAGAAATGCACAAACCACTTACTATAAACTATATTGTACATGTACATGTAGGGAAGCTCCTCACATTAATTTCTATGCGTTTCTATGACTGATAATTATCTCCTTAACACTTTCAACAGTTATTATTTTCCACGTCATGGACAACACAAAACTATACCAAGTGTCAGCCCTGAACTTCATACTAAAGGTAAAAAGACTCCTTCATTAATTCATTATTATTGTAATCCTTTAGTAGTGGATCCATTACCTGAAATATTTACTGATATCAGTGTCTGTTTCTATGGAATTGATGAGAGCACCAAACTCGTTCTAACCCGTTATATAATAGCATATCCTAATTCAACTATACATACTTAAAGTTATATCAATAATGATGTGTATATTCCTTAACTTATCCTTACTTATAATGGTGATGTAGAGGAGGCCCCCACTGATAAAACAACACACATTATTGTTCCTGGCTTGGAGGGAAGCAAGTTACCATGGAATATACACAAGGCCACAGTAGCGGTCTCATTGAAATGGCTGGAAGACAGTTTACATGAAGGACATCTGTTACAAACAGAAAAATACATCATTTAATATAATTCAGTATTTTTAAGTTGTGTGGCTAAAAATATAAAATAATATTAAATTAATTTGAGTCAATCATAAATGGGCGTTGCATGCCAGAGCCACACCTATACTCACTCGGCTGTACTTGTATAAAACTTGCAAGTGCCACCAAATCATTTTCACTTTTTTCAGCAGACTCAGCCCTCACTCGGTTAAAAGTTCACTATTGCAAGCCTGCAGCCTTAAGATATTCACTGACTCCGCGATTTCATAGCATGGATAGTCAAGGTAGCTTCTACTAGTTTTACATAATTATTTAATAAGTAGATCTATTATTTATTTTCTCACCATAGCAAGAGTTCAAGTACAGGCTCAGATCAGAAATCTTTTTCAAAACAAGCCTGCACATGGCCATGGTGTCTCACCATCATTTCGTGATTTTCATCCAACCAGTGGAATAGAGTTGCAGAAAATGATGCTCAAGTTGGTCCAGGCGGCCTCAGAGGCCGCTGCCGTAGCTTTTCGCTCGCTTGTTTCACAGCCGTCGGAAGCTAAGAAACAAACGTTGGAGGCCGCCATTGAAGTAGCAGAAGCTGCTATAAAAGATCGTGTTAATCCTCATCTTGTTAAAATGGCAATGGGGATTTTTCTAACGCATAGTAAAGAGGCTCAGTATTTAGGAGTTGTGGCACCCTCACTAAAGGAGCATTTAGAATTTGCCATGCCAGCTGTTATTCCGATTGAGAAAGCCGTCGTCCCCGAGGCCGATGTCACCCCAACTCTTCCAGACTCAAATCCTACTACAGCCGACACTTTAAGGGCAATAGAAACCCTCTCATATTGGCGAGAAGATTATGATCTCAATGACCATCACTACCATTGGCATCTCGTCTATCCTTGGTCAGGAATTAGTACAATAAAGGAAAAAAAGATCCACCGAACCATTGATAGGCAAGGGGAACTGTTTCTTTACATGCATTCTCAGATGTTAGCCCGATACAATGCAGAGCGGTTGAGTTGGTCAGACATAGGACTGGTTGACCCATGGAGCTATGATGAGGTGGTGGAGCCAAGTTATACACCACCCCCAGGTCTGAGGGATGAGTATGGAGCAAGGCCTCCACTTCAAGGTTGGCTTGAGCAGCATTCCCCCTACATGCCTGATAAACTTGCTACTGTTTCCAAAGATACAATGATTTTCTGGCGTAACAACATCAACAAGGGCATTATTCAAGGTTATTTTTACACAAAGAAAGAAAATGGTGATCAAGGAAAGTTCCAGCTCACAGAAGACAATGCCATGAACTGGGTTGGCATAATTGTTGAGGCTGAGGCACATCAGCTGCAGGAGGTAAGCCCAGGCTCCAATGAGTTTATTGATAACGACTTGTATGGCACACTACACAACCTTGGTCATGACAAATTTGGTGAGATTGGTTACCAGACATACATGTCAAACAAAAACCGTTGGGGAGTAATGGGGTCCACCTCTGTTGCAGTTCGTGATCCAGTCTTTTGGATTTGGCACAGGCACATTGATGATTTTCGTCAGTCTATTGTAAACAAATACAAGCAACATCCACTCAAAGAAAGTGCCCCACCTCATGTAAAGCTCACTGGAGTACAAATCCTACCACAAGATGAAAATTCTACAACACCTGATGGAGGTATTGCCACATATCTCACTGCACCTCGTTTGGAATTGCATGAAGTCAATGCTAAGCTCAACCATGAGCCTTACAAATGGGTAGTCAAGGTTGAAGCCACTGTAGATGAAAATGAAATTAAAAATTTGAAGCCATTTACTGTGCGAATCTTCATTGCTCCTAAGCGGCTAATGCATGAGCAGCGCCGTTACATCGAAATGGATAAATTTTTATGCACCCTTACTACAAAGTCTGCAACATTTGTCAGACTAGATGTGGAGTCCTCTGTAGCCCGCAAAGTACCTGATCCATCAGAGTATCAAGATCCACGCTGTTTATGTGGATGGCCTCAGAATATGATGATACCCAATGGTACTGAATTGGGCACTGATTATGTAGTTTTTGCTATACTCACTAATGATATCATCTCTGAGGTATGTTTACTAACTTTATATGCAGCTTTTACTATGCATAAAGTCATTGAAGGTTTTGTAATTAACTTGGTATACTTTATTTTATGTAGGATGATACGGTATCAATGTCTTTCTGTGGAGCCAAGGATAGTAAATATCCTGATCCACGTGGCATGGGATATCCATTTGATAAAGTATGGTTCAGGACCTCCTCAGAGATGCGTGAGGCTATCAAGGGGCTGGATCATGTGAAATTATCCGAATTCAAGATTTATCGTGAGACACAGCTTTACCAAGGCAGAATAGTGACGGTAAAGGGAGACATCAGTTGGGAAAATACCATTCAATATTTCTTCACACAAAGTGATGCAAGTTACATGATGAAAGAGTACAAAATCGATTTGACCAAGAAAGAAGATGTGATTCGTTACCGAATGTTTATATTTGGTGTGGAAAATGGTACTATACCAGTCGATGGCAATACAAAGGAAAAGAAGTCTAAGTGGAGTGATGACAAAATTGCCAAGTTTGAAGCATGGATAGACGCTGACTTTCCTTGAACTAACATTTGAATATTAATAATTAATGTAACTTTTTGAAGTAGTGAATATTCTAGTTTTTGGTTTTAGGCAATTTTTGCAAAATTTATCATTAAAATAGTGAAAAACAGAAAAGAATAAATAAAAGACATTTAATTGCATGGGTTTAGAAATACTACATAATTTACAATCCTCCTTTCATCATTTGACATAGCACATCTGTTGTCTCGCTAGCCATACCATTGGTCACATCCTTTTCTGAACGTAAGAACAAGACTACTTTAAGCAATGTACAAGACTCT